AGCCTAAGAAAGCTGATCTAGCCTTACAGCCATCTCTGCTTTGAGCAGGAGTTGAAGTAGATGAGGTCCCAAGGACTCTTCAAAACTGAATGATTCAATTATTTTTGTTTCCATTCTTTTGTGTTTCCATCTGTCATTGCCAATGCGAAGCTTCTCATCTTGTGTCTCAAGCTGGAATGTGCGACCATTCTGCAATATTAAACCATTTGTTTAACAGTTGGGTGGAATCTGCAGCTTTTACTGAAACAAGGTAAAACAAAAATGAGTTTTGAAGGGAACCCCAAAAGGGATCCCTGTATTATATGGCCAAGGTGATACATATGCAAGAGGCAATGAACTCCAAAAATTTATTTTCCAGTGTGTTAATACTTTTCTTCTTGCAAAATCAACAAAAGCACTTAACTCTTTCCATAGTTTAGAGACCATTCAGAACCAAATAAAGCTGCTGAAATGAAATACATCTTTTCCCTTAACAATATGTTAAGGCACTTAGCCACCCTGTACATTCACTCAGTCACAAACTCTGAACATCCTAGCAGATCCTTGGCAAGAAGCAATAAAATATTTTTAAAAGCCTAGAAACAATACAGTTCAGAAGAGTTAGGATGGTTTTGGACATTGTTTCTCCAATTTCCACTTCAGGTTCGCATAGTTTGAGTCAAAAAGGAAGCTGAGATGTCCAATTCAGCTTAGATGAATTGAGTTCCATCAGTCTTATGCACTGTTGACTGGAGTAAAGCTTCTGCAAGCCAAATGTAGGTCTTACATCTGCTCAATCCCATTAACCTTCATTTGCACACTGAGGTATGCCCTTGCTGAAGCTTAATTAGCAAATATTCTGCAGATACAGAAAGACTCCCACTCCTTTCTCTGTTTCATATCAAATCCATGGTGCTTAAGAGTTAAGTGATAACTTGTGAAGACACACAGCTTAAAGATGCACAAAGAGGGACAGACAATTTCAAAGGTGATCTTTCTTATGATGCTTTGTAGGTGCAGAATGACACTTGGAAATAACTCACGTGTTCATGCTCACACTGAACACCGTGCTGGCAAAGACCTGGCTGATGTGGATTTCATTTAGCTAGCCTGTACCTATTCCCATGTTCTAAGAAAATACATATTCCTAAGCAGTCCCCAAGTGGTTTTTTGGAGGTTCCTATTGCTGAATGTAATTGCCCTGAGTGGGACTTCATTCTGAAAATCTTTAAGAGCTTTAGTAGAGGAAGGAGACCACTTTTCCAACAACCTACTAAAGAAATGAAGGGTCTTGCTGCAGGACAGTTCTTCACACATATATGAACTATCAGCTGTGTAGCTTCAGAGTAATTCAATAGTTCTAATGCATCCATAAGAAATCTTGCAAAGATCTTAACCAAAGAATGCCTCATTGAAAATCTCTCAGTATCCCTCATTGTGTTCTCATTGCATGCCTCCTGCAGATATTCCTAACCTCTGTACTGCTTTTTTCATTCCCCCTGCTCTTTTTGCTTTTACAGAAAAAAAACCAAAAACATCAGCATTCCCTGGGAAATGTACCTGACTACTCTACATGTACTTTCAAGTAAGCACCAGTGATGTTTTCTTAGGAAAGGAAATCAACATGAACTCCTACTAGGGAAATACAAGCAGCGTCAGGTGTTATCATAAACACTACTTTCTACATGCCCATGTGCAGAGTAACTTAGAATATAAATCCTCTTTTGCAAAGGCTAATTTTTTTATTCCCGTTCTCTTCCTCCATATTTTTCTTATTCCTGTACAATGAAACTGCAAGGATTCACCAAAAGGCTAGTGCTCATAAAACCCATGGAAAGCTTCTTTCCTAGACTGCATTCTCCTACAAGGTGTAAAACAGCTTGCAAACACAAATGCAAGGGACCCATCAAACACACTCCATTTTCATTTTAAAAACATTAAGTATAGGGGAAAGGAATGTAAAATTCAGCCTGTAATCTCCAGAAGAGTTGCTGAAGAGGGAAGAGGATTCTGCTGCTGTTCTGCACAGAACTAGCTAGCCTGCCGACAGGTATAGCATTATCTCACTGATGCAGCGAATACTTCTGCTCACCTGGAATGTTTTAAAGCTACCTCTGATTTACATAATTTTGCCATTGCTCTAAACAGAAAGAATACTAAACTTTAGAACTATAGTGATCATAAAGAACAATTTATGTCTGTTGCACTCTCCCTCATACATTCTTTTTTCCAAAGTTGATTTTGAGAACATGTAGTTTATCATGGAAGGAAAAATGCAGATTTGGAGCGGTTAACTAAAGGGGAGTTATCAGATTTGGTAATGTAAACCAGCCCAAATACCACTACACTGTACAGAATTTACTGCTCTTGTTGTTTATGCAATCCTAGGTAAGTACCAACATCTAGACTCCAACTACAACTTTCTAGATAGAGTACAAGTACAGCTAAGATAAAACACATGGGTGACAAAAATCAACAAAACCAGAGAACTGTATTTATGGAGTGACTGAGCCATGACATGGAAAACATGAAGCCCTCAACAAAGCCACCATCATAAAGGAAACCTTCCCCAGACCTAATTCTTTTACACATAGACCCCATGCACAGGTCTTTGAGCTCGGACCTTACTGCAATCTTGGTCCTGCAACCATTCAGACACTTGCTTAACCTTAAACATGCAAAAAAAACTATGGGCAGGCTTTAATCAACATATCGGTGAGGATATCACTGATATTTTTGTATTGGCTGATTACTTTGAAATAAGAGTCACTGGAAAAGAGATAGATTTTGATCTTTATATGGTCCATCTTATTTAGGCACAAGCTCAACATATTACATATTTATCCAGTTGGCACCTTCCATCACCTGTCATGCTTAGAGTTCTCTAAGTAGAAGTAACTGCTTGTTTTCCCTCTCCTTTTTAAACCTCTTCCCCAAAATCCAGAAGAGCACCAGCACAAACTGTTACATTTAATCACAGGTTGTAATCCACAACATACAGAAGAAACAGTCTTCTGCTACGGTTTCTGATTTAAAATGTTGACTGTAACGACAACTAAAAGCCAAACCAAATCAAACCTTCAACTTTAAAAAAAATAAAATGAAAATTTGAGAGAAAATTTCATTGGTCATCCTAAATAGTGATTGATCATCTATTTAGTAAAGCATAAAAACAGAGCTGATATTCAGAAGACACTGAAATATTTCTCAGTTTTTCTTTCAGTATCAGATATTAACATCTTAGGAATTTTTAAAAAAGACGTGTTATCATTGTTTATAGTTGGAAAATAAAAGAAACCAGATTAGTACAAACTAACAATTTAAAGCTATACAAAATCTAGAAATACAGTAACAAGTATATTCTACAAACACATGCTAAAAGGCGTACACATACACACCTAAGTTAAAGACACAAGCACAGAAAAACACCTTCTGCACAACGACGTTAAATTTGATCAAAGCTCAGAGCCTAGGTCCCTCTTTTTAGTAGAACTAAAAACTACGATTTCCTTTGCTTTTCAAGTCCAGCTATTTCAGTCCCCTGCTGCCAACACAGCACTTACAGAAGCCTGGGTCTGTCTCTCTGCAGCTCCTCTCCCTTCCCCTCATCTGCTTTGTTACTCTCAAAGACCTGCTGGCAAAACAGAGAGGATTCGGTGTCCTTACAGGAGGCGAGAGACCGGGCAGTGCCTGACTCCTGTGGTCCTTACCTTCCCGCTACTCAGAGACTGCGCATCCAGCTTCCCTGCCCAAGTTACTTGGAGGGGATTTGAAATTGATGCTCAGAAATGTAATGAGAATGAAAGCCAATAGAGTTCAGATTTCCTTTAGAAACTGGGCTCCTTGATCTGCCTGATGCTGTTGACACTAAGGTAAGCATTTAAGGAGAAGGAGGGGAGATTGTTAGAGAGCATCAAAGGCAGGAGACTGGTAGATGGGGTTTCCTACGCCTAGAGGTGACGCCCCTTCCTGCCTCCCCCCTTGGCTGGAAAGGAAATAAAATGGAGCCTAGGAGGGAGGGAGAGAGATAATCCTGCAGCTTCATCTGATTAGAGAAACTGGGCCTGTGCAGAGCCCGCAATGCCGACAGGGAAGCACAGGGAGGGGAGGCAAAGAGGCAGGAAGAGGAGGAGCAGAGGGAAAGGAATACAAATGATAGGGAGAAAAACGATAAAAGCTATACAAAGAAGCCAGCACCTGGACCAAGCTATCCTGGACGTGTTCAATTTCAACCCTCACAGAAATGTGAAAATACCAGTAGGATATACCCGCTGCTTCTAGTAATCCAGAACATTAAAAAAGTAAGTCAACCACAGCCACGCACACAAAAAAGCCAAAGCCAGAATGCATCAGTTGTATGGATATGGACTAGGAACAAGTCTATCCTAGTGGATTCAAAAGACAGATTGAGTGAGCTGAATAGGGAAGATGGAAAATGCAGCATGCTACAGACAGGTAGTTGTCTTGCTTGTTGTGGACAGGACAGAATCCAGAACAAATTTTCTGTTGCAAGTCTTTTTCCAGAAGCTGTTTCCCCTTACTAAAACAAATCTGACTTGAACCAACGTGACTTTTTAAAAAAGTACATATCAGCATGCACGCCATGGTGCTTGCAACTCTGGCCTCAGCTGTGTGCGTGCACCTTGCCCTCCCAAGAGTCCCATGGCCTGGCAGCTGCCTCCCAGTCACGGCCTCCCTCCCATGCCCACGGTTGCCCACTTACACCTGGCCACCTGCACCGCTGTGCTCTGTGCCTGCAGGAGGCTGCAGTCAGCCTAGCCCGTGCTGCCCCCAGCTGTGAAGGCAACACCGTGCCCTTACACTTGGCCTGACACTGACAGGGTCCCCAGGATGCTGCTGTGGAGCTTCCCGTCCTGCCCACCTCCAGCAGGGCAACCCCCCTCAAGGACCAGAACCAGCTCTGAGGCTGCCAGATGCCACCTGCAGCGGTATGTCACGGGCAGAGGGATCTTGCCATTCGCAGCAGCCTGTCTTTGTAAAGTTTCTCCTTTCTCACTCACCTTCATCAGCCGCTGCACTTAGTCCTTTCCCAAGCACCTCTCCTTGTCTCCACCTTGTGAGCCTCATTTCTTTCTGGCCTACTTCCCTCCATTTCAAGCTTCACACGAGGCAGGCCAGTTGGATCTCTGAGGGGGCAAGGAGAAGGATGCCAAAATATCAGAAAAAAACTTAAGTTCTTTTTTTTTTTTTTTTTCCTGATCATAAAGAATTTAATACCTTTCCTATGCAGCACCTACAGCACATTCTCAGTCTGTTCCTGGGTCTTCACCTAGTACCCTCCCATCACACCTCACTCTGCTGGGAAAGGGGGACCACGACCCCCCACCTAATGCTTTTGTGAACACAAGAGTGCTTCTCTAGTCTTCAAAACAGGCTACAAAAACAAAGTCAATGTCCATGTGAAGCCAGGTTTTGCACCTAAAAGACCTCTCCGCACACACAATGTACAATTACTCCTTTAGGCTGCAGGTCAGAAAGCATTTCAGGAGTTAACAGCCATGCCTAGGTCAGCAGCAGCTTTCCGGCCACTTCATTTTACTTGCCATGTTTATTACAGCAATGAAGCAGAGTAGGCAGTTCAAGTCAGCAGCTTGTGCTGACCTTATGCATCCGACAAGGCTGAAAAAACAGAAGTTCCTTGAACTCTTCTGTTCCTGAGTACTCTTACTGGTGTTCCTGGTAGCCTGGGATCACATCCAAACAGATCTCCCCACAGTGGTATAGGACTTTGTGAGTGCTGTGGGGAAAGTACAACTTCACAGCATTTTACTTCCTTTCTATTCCAACAGAAAGTTTTGGCTGAGGTGATGAGAAACACTCTGGCACTTGCAGATATTCCAGCACTGTTCCATAGATGCCAGCTGTGAAGTGATTCAGCACACAACCCTTCCAGTCAAAATACATTTTCAAAATTCGTTGCAAATTGTCCAATATTTCAAGAACGTACACAATAAAATGTGATGATGCCATCACATTTTCTTTAAACCCTCCACAGGATGAAGTTTCATAACTTTCTCATCCTGGAATTGGTATGTCCAGCAAGGCTGACTATTTTTATTGAAAGCATAAAACGTGCTTACTGAAAGATAGTGGTGATGAACTTGTACCTTAAGGGGTTACATATAACACCCATAACATTGTGAGGGGTATATAGCTTTAACTTTCCATTTAATAAGAAAAGGCACAAAGATGTCTCAAACCCATGTTTGCACAATTTATTCTTTCTTTAACCAAGCTCACAGTTAAAGGAAATTGAGAAGTCAATAGCCTACTGTATCTTTAGATACATTAGAATAAATCCAGACAATGTTTGTGGATTTCTCCTGGGAAGAAAGGAAGAAGCGCCCTTCTGAGCTGACTCACAAAATGCTGCTTGCAGTTTGTTCCTATCTCTGTCTGCGGACTCTGTACGCAACCCCTGGAAGGCTGATATTTGCTGTCTGATGATTCAAAGCCACTTAAGCCAGTGAAGCTGCACCTGCAACCAGGCCAATTTTAGCTTAATGCATTTCTGGTATATGTACTAGCTTATGACAATAATGTAGCCCTCCGGGAACAGTATGCTGTCTTGTGGGCAACACTGCTCAATTGCCTGAATGTCATCTGCCACAGTCAATTTGGATCAGGTCTCAGACATTGCCATTGTAAAATATTGTTGAGGGTTTCTGAAGAGTAACAGCGCTTCAGTACAGTCTGAGTGAGCCTTCAAAATCATAGCTAATGCACCATAGCCAAAATTAACTTCCACTATGCACGAAACCTGCTGGCAGCTCTCCACTCTAGATACTGCTAACCTCTTACTGAACTTGGCATCCCGTATGCAGTGCCAGATTTTCACTTTTTGCCAGTGTTTATCCAGGAGAGTGCTCATGCCAACCCGAACGAGTACCAGCCAGTCCAGTACCAGAGCTAGAAGAGTGTCTGTTTTCACATGCACTCTAGGCAAGTAAAATGTAAGTGGGACTGTTTGAAAGCATGGAACTGACCATCAGCTACTATTTGACATAGGCAGCACAATATTTTAAAAATAGAATTTCAGAGAAAGCAACTGTCAGACGAACAATATCACAAAAACTTCAAATTAAAGTAAAATTACACACATCCAACAGCTGTAATTCAATGATAATTTACCAAATTAATCCATCTGAACACAAGAAAGCAATGCCTTTTATATAGAAATGCTTCCCTTATTAAAAACACCTGAAACTACAGGCATTCTTTTCATGTGCAGGGTTTCTCTAAGAAGCTGAGCTCTTTGCAAAGACAGCCCAGCTGTAGCCAGCATGGTCCCTGAATAAGCCTATATTCTCTAACTTTATTTTTCTGTAAAAAGGAAGATGATTTGTGTGGGTTTATCTCATCTGTTGGTTTCATAAAGTTATTATGAAATCTGGCAGGTCATCTACATTCATCTTTCTTGGGAATAATGCTCTAATGCTCCTGACGTGACTTTGTTCAAGGAGCAGCATAGATGTGGTACTCTTCTTTGGGGGATTAATCTTTTTGAAAGCTGTCAGGCTTTTTAGTGCTGTGAAAATTGGTGTTTTTGAGCCATGTCATCTCCTTTCTCTTTCATGTTGGATTTGAGAGCAGCTTTCTCAACAAAGCAGCCCAGTTCTTTTACCTTGGCAGTTTGCAAGGCACCCTGCTGATATAAGCAATCTCATATTTCAAAGACTTTGCAAATCTCTACCCAGCACTGCTTTTTTGTTTGTTTTATCCAATGAATAGAACAACAGCTGATTACAAAGAATGCTGATCCCTCCTTAAAGCATGTTTTGCTGTAAACAAATTATTTCATGACGTGAAACCTAAAATCTCATCTAAAAACAAGGGACAGTCACATGGGCACTCTGCTCTCACTTCTCCTTTGCCCCAATGCACAACCACCAGAACATCTCCCCTGTTCTCTGCAACCGCTCAATATCCAGGAGGAACAAGCAGTAAATAATTGTATACACGCAAGAAAAAACAAAACAAAACAAAAAAAAACAAGCAAAACCCCTTCAAGCCAGTTTCAGGGTAGCTTTAAGCTGCCTTTCATAGAATAAGGGCTTTGTTCTTTTTGAGAGTTTTAATCACGTTTAGCTTCACTCTCTATCTTGCTGCTTGTCTTCCATCTGTTCTGTTGCTCTCAGGCTCCCACAAAAAAAAAAAAAGAAAACACACCACAGGACAAAACATTACACTTTGAACAGCCCAATCATTCGGTTTTATGCCTTGCAAACTTGGGTCTGAAGTCTTTTCAAAAGCACGTTCATTCATATAGTGATCCTCCTTAGTTTTCTTTCACAAATATAATTCAAAGAATTATTTGGTCTTTGGACAACAAACAAAGGTATTGCAGCCTTCTCTGAGTTTTAGCTCGTACCCAGAGCTGAGTGCTATGAACAAAGCCTGCTGTATAGACAGTTAGCTCTACTAACCGTCTTAGACCAAGTTAAACATCTAAATAAGGATTTGAACTTGGATGCCTCAGTAACCAGATGTAAAATGTGGAAATAGCATCAGCAAGAAACTGGGGAAAGCACCAAGGAAAACACTGTACAAGAAGAAAGCAGCTTGGGAAAATAATTTCTGACTCTGACCCACTTTGAAGAAACAGCTCTGCAGCTCCAAGAAAGGCTTTGTTTTCTCATGACCTAGAATATTCCCAACCGATTTAGTCTATGGTCATCATAACGCAGTTGTCAGATGGCCTACAGACCAATTCCAGCCCATTCAACACTGCTAATCTAGCCTCCCTTTCCTTGGTAACATGCTTGGCCAGTTTACCCACCCCCATCTCTGCCCCATGCCTTCCTATACTGGTCTTCCTGACACCTCTTGTATTCAGGATATGCTGGGGGAGAGTATGACTGAAGGAAGAGAGACAGAGGACATACTTCAGGGAAGTTGGGGGAATTTGAAGGGGTTTTAGACATAATCTCTGGCTGCCTTTATTGGTCTACCTTCACAAGAGGCATGGTCCTTGGTTAAATGAAAGACAAAATTGTTATGCAAGCAATACACCAGGGTGATGTTCCAAATTAGACACAGGGAGCAACAGTACTGTGTATTAGATATGGCATGCACCGGTAAGACCTGTAAAGTACACAGATTTCAGAACAGCCCCACAGGAAGGGAGTAATGCTATTTCACATGTGACCAGTGCCAGAGGGAGTCCAACAGGATGGACTGTAAACCCCAGGCTAGCTCTGCCTGCAATAATCTGCAGGGTTGACTCTGTGACAGATTGAAATGCAGTAACAGTGTTTATGCAACTAAATCTTGTTCTAATCTATTAGTTTACGTAACCTTTGCTCATGGACATACTGACTCATAGGTCTCAGAAATCCTAAGAAAATGTTTAACTCTCTCACATCCTTTAGCCCCTGGTTGCCAAGTACACAAGCAGGTTGTCACAGAGATCTCATTCATTCTCTGAGGAAAAGTTAGGTTGGTATGGCAAAAAAGGTATCCACTCAAGTCCTAAAAAGCAACTTACATACAACCAAAAGTACATAGTAAATTGGATAACAGTAGGCAGGAATGCTTCAGGTTAGCATTTCCAATGCACAATGTACCACTTGAACCTTGGGCTAGGACAGGAATAGAAATGGTTTTCTTGGCTCCTAGGGGGGGGAAAAAGGGAAAAAAAAATTGCTTTCGACCATTCAGACACCACCCTTCTCAGTAAAGTGAGTAAACAGTGCCTGTAGGAACGACACTGATTCTTGCTAGCTTGTAAGACTGACTTGTACCCTTCCCGTATTTCTTGAATTTTTTTAGAACATATACCTTAAGCAAGCAACAGGAATGTACAGTGTGCAGCACTCTGGCCGCAGCAGACAGCTTCAGTAATTGCTAGCCTGCCCACATCTGCTTATTTCAGCCCTTCCTGTGAGCACTTACCTCTGTTGGCTTGTTCATCTGGCTAAGCACTAACCTAGGGTGGTTTTTTTGTTTGTTTGTTTGTTTTTGTTTTTTGTTTTTTTAGTATTTGAATTAAAAAATATTAAAAACCATATATATCTGTCAATTGAATAGTTCACATAGCTGCTATGATACTGCCCATGTGGCACTTCTTGCTTCTTGATACCAACACTGTTCCTGATTTCTTTTCTAACAAAATAATCCTTAGCATTGAGGATTTATGGACAGGACAACGTCCATTGATATCATTTGGAATTAGGTGCATTTAGGGCCAAATCCAATTGTATTATGTGTATTGAGGAGACATAATTTATTTTTGATGCACACAAGACACTGATTTATTTGCAGGACAATTTGCAACAATCTCACTGTTTGTTGCAAAAGCAGTGCAAGAATAGGCACGGTGCCTTTTTATACAAAGTCCCCTTATGCATTATGATGGCTTCCCAGTGGATTCTGTGGTCATATTGATTCATTCAGTTTGACAGAAGCTGGGTCAGTCACTTAGCTCTGACTTGTGCAGTGGTTTGTACATTGCAATCCAGCAGAGGGAGCCAAAGAACTGCGAGCTGCCTGCAGCCCCCAGCAGCTGTGCAAAAAGGGGATCACTTACATGGATAAGGACTTAATTAGCTGAAAAGTTTATTCTTTTTCACCTACCGTCAGGATATTCTTGGGACATCCCTGATCCTCGAAATCTCATTAGTCTCACTAAACAGACTGAGATTTTTAGGCACCATTGCTTAATTACTTTTGTTGTTGTTGTTGCTTGTTTGTTTTAACATAAATGCATGGGATGGCATCTGTAAATCTGTCATTACTATACACAAAAGTTTTAGATCTATGTACCTGCAGAAACAATCACAAGTTAAAATAAACAGATTGTATTTGCTCCCCAAACAAAGATCCAATTCTGACATAAATTTATAATCCCATAAGGCTGTATCAATTAGAGCTACGTTAAATATAATTCCTATGCCATTATATATACCTATGCCATTATGCAGAAAAGCACATAATCATATACATATTTGTGATTTTTATATTTTATTTTATATATTTATATTTTATATTATCTTATATATGATTTTGGGCTTTCCTGCACTTCATCCAAATTTCGTGATGCATTTCTGCCTACAGAGATCTATGGTTAGCAATCCCTCCCTTTGCTTTATACTTCTTATACTTGGTTTACATTGTGCTTGGTCTAAATCTGTTCTCTATTCCAGAGGGACTGAAAGTTAGGAAAAAACACCTATTAAAAATTAATAAAAACTAGTTTTGCCTTTGAGCAACATTTGTTCTTCATCGCTACAACTGTGTGAACAGTTCGTTTTGCATGTGTACACAAGTAAACTCACAAGGCCTTGTCAAAGCTAGAGTTTAGATTATTACTACCAAGGGTAGGTGGTATACAAAACTACAAGCCAGACGTTACCCCCAGAAAGCTCTAAAGCCGTGTGACCCAGAGCTTCACAAGTCATCGTCTCTGCAAAAAAAAAACAAAAAAACAACAGTCTCTGTAGGCCTTGCACACATCTGTGAATTTGGTCCTTACTAACAGAAGTCTAGCTAAAGGAACATTTGTACTGTTTTTTTTCTTAGAACAGCAATAGCTGTTAACTTTTTCAATGCAATTTACGTTAGCAAAAATAAACTATGCAAACATGTTACAGTAAAAGCAGACTTAGTATCTCTGAAATTCTTATTGTGAAACAGGAAAGGTCATCTGAAAGCCATAGGAGTTCACATCTTCTGCATTCAGTTCCATATCAAAAAAAGTCACCTTTAAGAGAACTTTGTGTCACTGTATCGATGCACACCAAAGCCCAACACTGGACAGGAGATGGCGCTACAGCCTGCATAAATATTATGATTAGGGAAAACCAATGGTACAGCATACTGTGAGCAGAAGTAAAAATGTAAGGTAGAAAAAGAAACACTGAGTTCTGCAGAATTGGTGATACGCAGACCTATGTGCACTGTCATATCAGTAGGCATACTATGACACTGCTGAGAGAAGACCTGTAAGAAGACCCTGAAGAGGAAGCAAATGCATTGTGTCCGTCTGTCAAGGAGTTAAATACCCAGCAAAAGAAGAGCAAAGTTTGGAGAAGTCTATCTTGCACAGCATGCTCTGCACAAGCTGTAGCAGTACTTCATAAGCTCACAGGCTTCACTGCTTCAGAAAGAGACTGGTGGAACAGATACACTTAGTTGGAAGCTTTGCACAAGCACACAGCATTTGGCTTGACTCTCCATGAAGAATATCAAGGTTAGCTACAGTGTCAGGGGTTTTCCTGGACTAAGTAGAAACCCAGAACTAGGGTTCCTTAATTAGGTTACAGCTGTCTTTTATTTATTTATTCAGCTGTCTTTCTCCCTAGGTCCTTCTAAAGGCACCAAATATAGCAGCTTTCAAAGATTTTTTTTTTCCTCTTCTGTTTTGGCCCTGTCTCTAACCCCAACTGTTTTGTACCTGCAGTATTACTGGCTGACCAGTTCTGGATTGTGACCTTGGCCACTCAGAGTGCATAAAGCATTCAGCAACAGCCATCAGGAAAACCACGACAGAACATTTCTTGGAGACCCATTCCCTTCTGGATGCCCTTACTCTTCCATTCCCAGCTTTTCTTTTGAAAGGAAACTGACAAATAGCTCCCAGAATAAATCCACCAAAGGATACTTCATGACAGAGTACATTTTCTCTTATGAAACAGTTACATCTCCAAAGCAAGCTAAAGCTAAGAACTAAATACCAGTTCAAAGCCAATAGTAGGTTGTGGGAAGAAATTCTTATCTCAGTAAGTGTGAATCTGGAGGAATTCCAAATATTAAGCAACCTATAAAATAAGGATAACGATAACTATTACTTCAAAAAGCTTTCATGATGGTTAACTACCAGTAATTAAAGCTGGTGCACAATTCAAGAACCTGGGAACTAAAGGCCCTATGGAAATTCTAAGTATTCTTATTATTTCTGCCTTTCACAATTATGCTTCTTGATGTACATGTAAACCGTTTGTTGTAGTTAGGGTGCCCATCAGTGCTTCCTACAGCTCCATGTCTATTGTGTCCCTGACTGATACACTAGCCTCAAAGTTAGTCACATTGTAATTGGGAAAAAAAATAATATATCCTTCCTTATAGAAGCCATTCTAGCTGAAGGGTACCACCACTGTGAAAGTTAAAATTCACAAATAAAAGGAAGTGGTGGAAAAGGCAGTAGAACTCCCACATATTTCACATAAAACACCTAGAACTGCCAAATGGAATTAATATTTAAATAATTTAACATTAAATTAAAAAATCCTTTCACTGAAAGCAATCTGTTGTAACTTCAAAAGTATTAATTCCAGTAGGGATTAGACTTCAGAGGGAAACTGCCAAATGAACTAAGCTAAAACTACTTACTGTTAGAAGGATCTACTGGTGCTTCTGATTCTACCACTCTATCATCTTTAAGTACTTCTCTATCCTCTGCCATGTGGTGTTCCTGCAAACAGCATTTAGTAATTACATGCAGTCAACCTCACTGTAAACACAATGGTGTGAAATACATTGAGCAAATATTTCACGAAGATATCCAGTTTAAGAAATAAAATCCATCTTAAGATAAAAGATGCAAACATATTTAATTTGGTGTCTCAGAAGCACAGTGAACATATTTTTAAATCAATACATTTTAGAAAAATGTTTTGTGAGAGAATATTGTTTAGACTGAGTGTTCTGACATTTAAAAACAATCTGAATTCATTTCTGACTTTTCTTCCTATTTTTCAGAAGGCTTAAGGGCAACATTATGGCAGCTGATCACGCTTACCTTTTCTACATCTCTCTTCCAGTGCTTATGCCTGCCTTTTCCATGTCAGTTTCAACTTCAATGAAGCTAGAAGAAAGCCTCCACCCAAGCAGCCACAAAAAAAAAACAACAGTATTATCATTTCGGTGTACAAGAGGGCTAAACAACCACCACTGAATTAAGGAAATCACCCATATGCAAAGAGCCATCAAATGCAGCAAGAATCAGTATTTGGTTTCTTCCCAGATAACGAGCTATGTATATTTTCAAAACCAGAAGGCAGACACGTCAAAGTTCAACAACAACAAAAAAGACAAATATTTAAGAAATATATATTCCTAGTTGGAGGCCTGACTCCTTGCTTTTGTTGCTAATACTACAAAAATCATAAAGATGGGAAAATGAGTACCTTTATCCTCTATTCTAAACTAAGACATCTTGGTGATAACCCTGAAGTATAGTAAATACAACTTCACAGATAAAAGACTCTGTAAAAATTTCACTTCTAAAGGCCAAGGTAAGAACCAAGACCTAGACATGCACACCACAAGATACATGTGTTACATTATAGAAAATGAACCAGAAAGTTAGACTATAGTACAACATCTAGCTCCACAAAACATTACACTCTCAGCTTCACCTAAGCTGTTCTAGAGATAAACTTTCTCTTAGAAATCAAAACTATTTTTTCATATGAAGCAGTTGAGAAGCATGAATAATCACAGCATCAGCTGAGAAGCAGAGAAAACGAATTGATCCTGGCCAAGGCTGGAACGTGCAGAATGCATATTTGTTAAAGTGACACTATACACTTGAAATGGACAGTTATTAAAGTGCCACAACTTAGGCAGGAAGTCTCTTAAGACACTTCCAGAATTCTCTCTGATACAATAATAAAGTTACATAATGTGAACACAGGCAAATCAGCTTGGTCTTATATTTGAACTTAGAAATGGGCTTTTTAAACAGCCAAAAAACACCTTTAAAATAGAGAAGCTTCCACTGCCCTTCATAACCTCATGAAAACCTTTCATTAGTGTATGGACATTATGGAAAAGGCTATTTTTGTGCCCAAAAGGGCAGAAAACCTTTGATCATTTAACACAAAGGAGACAAAGGTAGAAAAAAGTAACTGTATTTTTTCCTTCCCCAAACACAAACAGAAGACCTTGTTCCTGGTGGGCTGAAACTCCATTTACCCCCTCTTAAAAATCATAGAATCATAGAATCATAGAATATCCTGAGTTAGAAGGGACCCTTAAGGATCATCAAGTCCAACTCTTGACACCGCAAAGGTCTACCCAAAAGTTCAGACCATGTGACTAAGTGCACAAGTGACTAAGTGTTTTTTCCAATTTAGTTAACATACAGCAGAGCAAACAGGAAGACATATATGATCACCAGGATTAGTTATTTTGACTAGTAAATTTCAATTCTTGGTTTTGAATTCTGCACACAAATGATAACCCAATATTTGGATGTAACCCAAAACGACCTAAGAATTGACAATGATGTTATCAGGCCTGACTACAGTGCATTGCATCACCATGCAGAGTAGCCTCACCAAAAAGGTGAGAAGCCCACTACGAATGTCAAAACAACATTGGCAAATAAAATGTATACATTTGAAACTGTTCAAGACCACTTAAACTGATGCAATAACTTCTAGCTACGCAAGATTAGATTCTCAGAGAGCTATTTTAAGAGAAAACAAACAGCAAAAATCCTGGCGCAGAGCAGCAGAAATCTTTCTGTTAAGAGACAGAAAGGAACCACAATAGAATAGTAAGCACAAAGACGTAACAGACAGGATGAAAGTCTTTTTAGCTACAATGATGCTACTAAATTGTGACCATCTTCCTCCAATATGCCATATCTGAAAAATTCAGTCTCTTAATACCAGAAAACTTTTCTGGAGAGTAGAAAACAGATACCACCAGGAGTTTATTAAAATAAAAATATATATATAAAAATACATTTTATGACAATTCATCAGTATTACAGCAGTAGTATACATAATTAGAGATATTCCATACCAGTCCTTTTGTTTTTTTGAGGGGAAATAAGTTAAATGCAAAAATCCTTCTTGTAGTTTAAAAAATATTTGCTTCCTTGAGCTAATTAACCTTTCTTCTGCTTGCAATCTTGTTTTTACAGTGTTATTCAGTTGTGGCAGAGGTCAATGCTTCAAAGATCAGGATGAAAATTTAGCAGATGGAAATCCTTTTGCAAAGGATAGCTGTTTTCGTCTAGCACAAAATGGCTCTTAATTTCCAAGAAGTACGATGCTTCTGAATCCGCTACCAGTGAATGACACAGATCTGCTACTATTGTGCTGTACATTATATCTGAGGAAGGCACTGCAAAAGACAGAACAATTTACTTACTTCATACTCTCATAATAGCATCTAACATTTAAGTTCAACATCCATGAAAGCTACACTGAATTACTGGAAATGTAATCTAACATCCAAATAGGATATTAGATTTCAGTTTTCATCACTTTTTAAGACAGCAATGTGCAGAGTGCTTCTCATTAAACTATGCTTGTGAATCATATGCACCACCTCAATAATCCAAACTGAAGTATCATCAGTGGAAGCCTGTCTGATACAACACCATTATAGTTATTTACATAATTAACGTATGGCATCTATTTCTAAAAACTTCTAAGGGATTTTATTTTCTAGATGAGAAATCCATTCAGTAGCTGAATATTTAGAAAACTTTGCTGCCCATAGTATTTCTACCACAATTCATGAAACAGTACCTACTGATCTGTTCAGCCAGTCGGCAGGAATATTGAGGAAGATTTTTTCCATCAACTCAGACACCACATGAATATTAATTTCACATCCTCTATCTTCTGCTGTCATCAAAGCAGGCCTAGGTAAGAAAACACAAGACTCATAAAAGTTAGCTGCAATATTTTTTCTGGTTTAAGTAACATTTCTAAATTAAAGTAATACGATGTAATACTACCCTCGGACATATCAGGAACTAGAAAATCTGTATGCTCTTACCAGTCAAATCTGTAAAGCTGTAATGAGCTTGATATATACTGAACTTCACTACACAGTGTTAAAATAACTTTAAAGCTATTAAGCAAGCCTTACTTTGAGACAACTGCAAAAAACAATCCTTTAAGCAACATCAGCTTTTTTCCTGAAAGACAATGCAAACTGCACCAAATGATGTTTTTAATTCCTGAAAGCATAAACATGTCAAGATGTCATGAAGCTGAACATTTGATGTTTCTGCTAAAGCCTGAATTTCACTTCTTGAGATTAAAGTGGATTGAAGATAGAGCTTTTTAATTGCTAAAATTAAAAAAATCTTCCTTCATTTAAGAAACAAATTTCTCAGGTCAGATAAATGTAAAAAGGAACTGTAATAGCAATGGAAAGCTGAACCTTATCAGTCAACTTGGGAAACGCTCAACAGCCTTGTATTCCAATACTTTTTTCTGGTAATATTCAGGGCAAAAACCTAAACATGCAAACATAACCTGTACCAGAACTGGAAGAAATTCACCTAACAAGTAACACTTGTCCTGATCTGAATAAAAAAAAGAGTTGTCTGCACATGAAGTGATAAAAGTCCAGGTCTTCTGAACACTTTTATAAATAAATAAAAAGCTGTCTTGCTCCAGTCAAGTTGCTCAGTTATCTGATGTCTTGTATAAGCAAAATAAATATACGCGAAAAACCATGCATCCAGATGTTTTCTCTATTAATTACCAATTTTATCCTATGAGTTTTAGGGCTACTCCATTTCTAGTGATTTACATATGTTTTCTTTTGTTAGTTGACAGGCAAAACTGGTTCTATCATGAAGACAAACTAATATAGATATTTTTAACTAGATACTAAAAAAAAAAAATTGTTCTGTTTACTCATATCTACTATGCCTTTTCTTGAAGACTTCGGTTGCTGTAATGCTTTCTTAAGATGCAGGACTATTTTAAAGAGCAGAGAATGATCAAAAGTTACACAAATAGGCTTATATTATTTAAATCAAAGTCAAGTAAAATACTATTGAGTATGCAATGATTCACTAATGTAACTCACTATGAAGTAATTTAGGAATAATTTTATAGGAAGAAAACTGATTGAAGACTTATATATCCTAAAATTCTATTCATTCTATGATTGTCTCAGAATTCACTGTACCTACTAGTCTTTCAAGTTACTATGATTCTTAAATTTACTTTGAGCTTTTGAAATGTAACTACTTATTGTTCAAGGTATTTCTACATCAACCAAATCCAAATAAGCTGGAATTTCATATTCTTTAGTAAATATCCATACTCATCTTGAGTCACAGTGCCATCTACTGATAATTTTGCATCCCTGCTCCCTCAGAATATTTAATGAAAACATTTGTTAGTTCTATTCCCAAAAGGCTAAAATAGATTTACCAGTTTAGAAATATGGTTGTGTGTTCACACAATTTCAAACTTAGGCTGAAATATGAGGCTCAAGGAGTTTTACTTTTGTCCTGAACATTCTACTTCATCCTAACTCACTGAAACAGTACTGGATAAACCTTGTTACCGAACACAGTATTCAAAGATAGTAAAAAGTTACATTACTTCCAGGTGACATTCTTTGTTTAAATCTAGTACAGCAATTTATGAACAGATTATTGAAAATTCATTAGAACACCATAAAGTACTAACCACACCTTAAATACACAATTTGATATAAGTGAGACTTAAAACAGAAAAGTTGTAGTTTATTTCTTTAATAGTATATACTCCAGCTTTATCTTATTTACCTGTAGAATGTTTTTACTTTGTTGTATGGCAAACATCTAAAACATTGCTTGTAGATCATGTTCTCATCTGCCTGTAGTTCCAAGCCACATTTAGCACAGCCTGAATACGTAATCATAGGCAGAGAAGCCAACACACACTCCAGGGAAGTGTCAGCATGGAAGATGAGTTGCCTGTACTGGTCAGTTAAAACAGTAAACTTCAGCTCTATGATGTGGGCTTTCACTTGAATCACTCCTACAGAAACAACAATTTCAATCAAACTTTTGTTCAGTTTTGTAGATAAAGCAAAGTAAGAGGTACAGTTGATTCAAAAGCAAAGTCATCAATATAACCTTAAGCATTTTTTTTTTCTTTAGAAGCACATTCTCAAATATAAGAGATAATTTCAACAGTGAAAATTCATCGTACTTTAATACTACATCTATAAAATACACATAACTCTGTAGTACTTTGTTACTGTTGTGGTAGATCCCAATATAGAAGAGCCTGAATAAAGGATCAAATCACAGAATTTTGCAAAAAAAAAAATTTGAAATCCAGCAGTACCAGAAAACAATCAAAATGACTTTGTTAATCTTGAAAGACAACTTTTCTAATGTGGCAGACCAAACATTATTCTGTGGTAATCAAAATATCTTTCTTACGAAAAATTATCAATAGAAGCTTAAGTTGCCTTTATATCACATGAACACAATGGTGAAGACTGAGTTTAAATGCACAGAATGAAATATGGACATTCAAAACAAATGGAAAATGATTTCATAAACACCTATGGATCTCAATGCATGCAAGCAAAGTAAATTTCATATTATACAAGTTTTGGATACAGGTTATAGATACGGAAAAATACTATGAAGTTTGTCACGTGGATTTCCTGCAAGTCAAGTCCATGATCTGATGTATTAGATGCATTCACACAGTATACTGGTAAAATAACCTACCTGTTCTAAAAACTTTGTTCTGAAAAGGAGGTGTGTCAATAGAAGTGGAATATAAGCCATGATTAGATCAGAAACAGAAACTAATTGCTTTGCCTCCACTCTGATTCAGAGATAGACACTAAAAAACAGAGCTTTAACAAGCTGTTTGCTGCTATACTCATAAATAAGAAGTTAAGCATTGCAAAAAATCAATTTTACTGATTTATTAAAGTTTAACACCAACCTTAGCAATCCTCTAGGCCTATTTATGAGGGGATGACTGTCCAACAGATTTTTTTGATCTTCTGTAAGAAGTTTCTAATAGCAGTAGCTGTATTACTCCAGCTTCAGGGAATTCAAGAGTATTCCACAATATCCAAAGTAGTTTTCCACAAACTCTTTCAGTGGTTAATTGCATTATTATAATAGTTCACATAGGCAACAAAAGGCAGCACTGCCCCATTTTTTTCAAAGCTATCTTTGTATGACACCACATACCACACCTATCTCAGTTGTGTGCTCCCTGAATGAAGGCTGCATTCACAGTTTGGACTCTCAGCAGAACTATGTTAACTCGAAAAAAAAAACATTTAATTTAAATAAGAAGCATCTATTTTGCTTAGATATGCACCGCACTATACAGATACCACAGTACTAAGAATAACAACTTTACCTGAGCGTTTTTCATCCAAATGTGCTGATAGATTTGTCATTTTCATGACAGGGGTTTTGCTTTTCTGAAACTTTTCTTTAAATTCAATGGCCCTTTTGTCATCATCAAACAAACACTCACAGGATGACCATGGAGTTGTGTGCAGCTCCAAGTCACCTGAGACAGAACTACATTGGACCAGAAGGTATTTAAAGTCCCATAGATGACCTACAGAGCAGAAAACAAAGCAAGAGTTTAATTTCTGTATCTTGGTTACTTTACAGAAAACTGAAGTCATTTACAAGATTGACTAACAAATCAGCAAAACATTCTAATACTTTTGGTTCCATCAAGTTTAGGTCAAGC